TACTGGTTACAGACCTGGGCATCTTAGTTTTGAAACAGTTTTTTCAGGGACTTTTCCTTGCCCTTACCAAAGGTCTATCGTACAGTTTTGCACTAGATAACCTGGTTAAAATAGTAACTATCTTCTCTGGAGCATAACGCAAGATCGTTCCAGACTTTGCCAAGCTAAGGGAGTGTCAGTGATCCTGCTCTTATTCAGCCTTTGGAAGTGCTGGGGAATAGATGACACTGTCTTAATGGTAGGTCTCTGCAGCTGAAAGCAGAGCTGTGTAAAGATACGCTGTAGAAGATGCCCTTCAGATGCAATCTGCTGAAATAACTTGATTCCGCCCCCCCCCTTCCTCCGTCTGTGACTGAGGGGGCTGTACGTGCATTGCTGAGGTTGTTACGTTCCTCCCCAAAAGACCCACTACTGGAGTGTGTCGGGACCCCTTTGAGGGCTGCTTTTCAATCCGTCACACTTAAATGAATCTGAGCTGGTTCTTGGCTCCTTGGCCTCTGAAATGGTGTTATATTTCTTGTGCCTTATCAGGTTGAGATGCTGCTTCAGTGGTGTTGTGCTTCTGCGTGCAGTGGTGAACTAGCAAGGAGGATGCAGAGTACCGTCTGCTGCGAGCAGGCAGGAGGATTAGTTCTGCTTGAAGGGCCTGACACAGATCCGTATCTCCAAGAGGGGGACAGTGAGCATGTGGATTGGGCATCAGAAATAGGAAGGCTTGCCCTCCCTCTCTGTGTAGATGAGGAGGAAGAAATCTGAATAAGAAGCTCTTTGTGTGCGCTTATCTGTATACTGTCTCATTTAGCCTGAGGTTTTCCCACATCTGCTCCTGTGCATGAAACATCAGACTGAGGCATATTGCTCTACTGAAATGTTTGACATTAGAAAGGTATTTTTTGTTGTCATTGCCCTCCCAGTAAGCCTGTGGCCTTTTTATGGTATTTTGTACTTTTAACTGTCTTATATGTCACTACTGCCATAAAGTAAGAGTGAAACATCTGCTTTTCTAAATGTTCCAGCAAGGCAAAACTGTTTCAGCGGGTTGTGTGTTTGAAGCATGATACCCAGTTAGGCGCAACTCAGCTTTGAGTCTGTAAATAGAAGTTTTAATCTCTGTTCTGGTGTTTCATTAGCTAGGTTTTCATGTGGGACAGAGGCCCACGGTAGGCCAAGATAGCATGGGTCATATACGTGCCCTTTTCTAGAAGTGTTTGCTTTGGCTAACTTGCATTCATAATGAGCTTTGTGGCTTTCTGTAACAGTGCTACTCTGTCCGTGGCACTAAATTCACAGTTGGTAAACATCTCTTCTCTAAAATCTGTTCATCACACGTCCCTCCGCCTGTCTCTAGAACTGCGGTAAGGCTGTGCGTGAGATCTGAACCCAAAGCGGCCTTCGTGGCTTCACTGAGCAAGCTGCTACTTCTGTAAAAGTAGATAAACCGGTGGGTCGCTGCTGTGCATCGTTCCTGTTACTTGGATTCATGCCATGCTATGGTGAAACATCTTCTAATTGCTCTTTTTCTGGTAAATCTTCTCTCAGTGGGTAGGATGGTGGCTGGGGGATGCAGTAAACTGTCCTTTCTGGCTGGGCATGGGGCTGGAGGTAGATGAGCAGCTCCAGGGTCAGAAGACTCCGAGAAGCTCTTTCTGGAACTCCACTTCTCACAAAAGCTGCCGCAGGGTTGCATTGGTTTATTCTGAGGAGGTATATTTAGGTCTGGAAGAGTAATTACATAGCTTTGAATAAGTCTTGAGTCGGAAGAGGGCAAAGCTTAGCTTGGCAGGGATTCAACCTTCTGGGAGTCTTTTTGCAAAATGGTACAGACGGCTTTTTTAAAATAAAACTTCTGAAGACCCATTGAATTGGCACCTAGTACCAGGCATTGGTCTGATCTATTTCTGGCTCTTCGAATACAGAGTAAAACTTAAAATTAGACACTTCTGGTTTTAAGCTGTTAGTTTCTGCTTTGCTTTTAGATGCCTTGTGATTAGGATGGAAGGAAATGCCTCTCAGTGCAGCCCTCACCATGCTTCTTGTGTGTTTTTTGGTTTCTGTGTGATGGTTCCTAATTGTATATCAGAGAATATTTAGGGCTAAATACAAAACTGCTCCTCATCGGAGTCCACTTTTTTCCCTATTTTAGTGTTCTCTGATTACCAGCTTAACGGTAGCTTGATGGGAGGTGGATAGACAAAGCCCATCACTTCCCCACATGCCATCTTCTGGAAATGTGGAATTAATTTTTTAGAGTTTGACTTGAAACAATAGTGCTGTTGCTTGCTTGTCTGAAGATACAGACACAGCCCCCACCCTTAAAAGCCACTCTTTAAAGTAAAAAAGAAAGTTGAAAGTCATTGTTGAATGATTATGAAATTTGTGACTAGAAAGCAGCTCTGCATTTTATCTTGTAAACTTCTTTCCACCCTGTGCAGACTATTCCAAAGACATAAAAAGTCCCAAGCTACGCATGTACCTGCAGCTCGGCTTCGTGTTCACGGTGCTGTGGGTAACATAACCCCCCAATCCTTTTCCTAATCCTATGTGCTGTGTGGTATCTACAGCAGTTTGGAAAGCCAACATACATCCTTAATAAGAAGCAGAATGTCTGTTAGCATAGCTTATGCTAACAGCAAGTTAGCATGAAGGAGCTCTTTATTACTAATCAGTACTTTTTGCCACGTTTTGAAGTAATGAGCCTTCATTGGACTTAGCAGCATCCAGCAGGTGCTTAATCATAGCTGCACTGTAATACAAGCGAGAACTCATGAGTAAGGAAACTTGCATGCTAGAGCAGTTCTTGCTGATCCTACTGACGAAGCAGCTGTGGGGAGCCTGGCGCATGTGATGAGCGTTCGGGAGCTGGAGCTTAGTCACTGAAATACTCACTTGTGACAGGAGTTAGAGCTCTGAGCCATGTTTGTGAATGAGGTTTACAGCAATGTGCTGTTGTACCTGTCTGATCTGAAGATCGTTCACTTGTAGCTGCCTTCCAGGATTCAGCTTGAAGCTCTGATGTCGTTAGCAGAATTAGCATTAGCCTTGCTCTCTAGAAAATAGCAGTTCTTTTTTTAAAGACGACTAATGCTGCTAAAATATTCGGTGTTTTCTGCATCCCATGTACCTTCCTTGCGTTTCTGAAGCACATGTGTTTGCAAGCATTTTTCTATTCTGTTTAATTCCTTTTTTCATCTGTATCCGAGTTTTCCTTCCTTTAGGTCATTTGAGATACCTACTATTAAGTCAGGTTTAAGGCACCTCACATCTGAAATTTAACTTTCCTAATTTGGCTGGCTCGGTGAGTATTTTATTATAGGCAAAGCCTTTTTAATCCCTCTGGAAGTGTTTCTTCTCCTGTCTGAAGGAGCTGGAGTGAGTTGAGCGGAGCAATAAGAACCAGATCACATCTTGAATTAATCCCAGATTCAAAGGTATTTTCGGCACTTAGATGTCTCACTTTTCAGTGACTTCAGTAGATAGCCTTAGTTCTGTCTGGAAGGAGTTTAAGTTCACTTCCTTGAAGGAATTGCTGCCTTCTGTTTTCCCGCATTTTAAACAGGGATGATCAGCCCTTATCTGCATTACAGAGGATTACAGGTTTCAGTTATTTGTCAGCTCCTTTTCTGTTCTCTGCTGTTTGCCTTGGCCAGCATATGCAGGTCCCACAGAATAGCTCAGAGGACTAGAGGGGACCTCCTGGGTCAGGATCCAGTCCCTGGTATCTGTCCTGTTGGGCTCACCGCGACGTTGAAGAAAGGCTTGTTGGGCTGTGCAACAACTTCTGCCTCTTTCTTCCCAGGAGAGTTGAGGCAATACCAACACTGATCATTCTCCCCTTTGCCACCGATCTCTTTGGCTCACACTGTGCCCGGGTCAGATGGTGGGAAGCCTCCCTTTCCCTGCTAAAGCAAACACTTTATCAGGCGCCCTTGCCCCTTTGTCCTGTGCTAAGAGGAGAGATAAGAGCGAGATGCAAACTTGCTAGCTCATAGCTGTCAAAACTGCCTTCCCTTCCCTCGCTCCCCCTGACCTCATTACTTTGGGAACTTAATTGGCTGAGGGCCAAGCTCAGAGCCATAAACGGATCAGGTCCTGAAGAGGCTCGGCGGGGAACCAGAGCCCCGTGGAAGGACCCACACACCTCGTTTCCGGGCTCCTTTGAACCTGTCCCCTTTGAAGGGTGAAATTCAGCTTCCCCTGAGGGCTCTGCAGAAGCCAAAGCTATACCTGAAGTGATTCCTGTGCTCGGGCAGGCTTCTTCTCTTCCTCCTGCAGCTCACGCTGTGCTGGAGCCATGCACTTCTCCATTTACCCTGGAGATGAGAGTAGGCTGCTCAGAAGCTGTGCGAGGAAAACTGCCTCCTCCCTGGCTGAGACTGCTTTACAGTCTGAAACCCCCCGCATGATTTGAAGCACAGTGTTTGCTTGGTGTGGTCCTGTCTGTGTGCACCCAGCAGCATTTCCACGTGCATTTTTGTCCTCCTTTGAGCTGGCCATCCTCACCGGCTGAGTCCCAGGACAAGAAGCAGGATGGCTGCCTGGGAAGGACAAGCCTTCCAGGGCATATAGCACATTTGCTATACAGAGGCTGTACAAAACAGGCACATTGTAGGAAGATAAGTTTGTGAACCTTCAGCCCAGTTCGGTTACAGCAGTCGGACCTGTCCAGGCCGGACAGTGAATGAGCTAAACCGGCTAAGCAGGAAATGTCAGAGCCTGTGAGAGTTCTAAAGGCAAACTCTGTTGATGAGTTGTTTAGTCTTCACTGTAACCTAGGTGGATTTTACCTGTATTGACTAGTGAAAAGCTTGATGCTAACACAACACCTTTGTGTGGTGCAGTTTCAGGTGGTGTGGACCCAGCTGTGTTGTAGAGGATCTTTGCAGGCCAGGTTGCTAGTCATTAAAAAAGATACTTAATAGTCAGGATTGATATGGCTTTGTAACTTTATTGAAGACTGTTTTTGTTTTTGTGTTTGGTTTTTTTTTTTTGCATTCTCATAGAGAGGAAGTTCAGGAAAACTGTGTCCGCTGGAAAAAGAAGTTCACCTTTGTGTGTAAAATGAGTGCCAACCCAGCCACAGGACTCCTGGACCCCTGCATCTGCCGAGTATCTGTCCGTAAGGTGAGCATCTGGCTTCTCCTTCTGGCAGATAGTGCTACTAGTGGTGTTGGTTACTGGCTGCTTTTTTGGCAGCACGAAGAATTGCATGGACAGTGGTGGGAAGGAAAGATCGTTTGGGCCAGGATGTGATTCAAATGGAGCCTCTCTCTCCAGAAAGGGTGCTTAACAGAGGGTGGGAGCAACCAGGGTGGTGGTAACCCTTGAGAGACAGAGGTTTGTGAAACCCAGAGAGCAAATTCCAGGACTGAGTAATGACTTTCCCCCTGTTTCCCCAGCACATAAAGTAGCTGCTTTTCCTGTTTGTTTTGTCTCCCATTATAGGAGCTGAAGGGCGGAAAAACCTACTCAAAGGTAAGAGAGCAGAAAGGGCAAATGTGGGAGAGTGGTGATGGTCTTCTGTTAGTGCTTTACACCCATTAGAAGCGAGCGGCTGCTGCATGAAACAGTCTGGAGAGACGGTCATTAGTTCTTAGTTTAAGCCTGAGTTAAGTGATTTCCCGAAAAAATCGACTTGCTGGGACAGGGTCCAGATTGCACTGGATGTGGATTTGAGAAGGGGGTTGGGAAGATGATCTGCATGTCCTCAAACTTTGGGGAAGTTCTGAGTCAGATGTGAACTCTCTGGCTTCTGGCAATGTCTCACTAATAAAGAAACACAGACTCCAGTTCTGTTCTCCAGAACACAGCAGCCAGCTGTAGCTGGGGTAGGCACCTCGCTGCCTTGTGAGTGCAGGCAGAAACCTACAGCAGAAATCGCTACCTTCCAAAGCACAAGAGGCATTGAGGCAAAAACCAGACTGATTAGCAGGGATGTTTTGGTTTATGTCCCCCCCAAGTTTTCTTGCCTGTGCTATGGGAGGGACAATGGGCCACCCCCTTCTCCTCTTTGTGCTGCATCAAGAGACAATGTTGGCTTAGAAGTTGAGCTCGTGCAGAGCCTGAAACCATGTTTGTTTGAAAAATGAGTCACTGCTGCTAGTTTCTAATAAACAGATGTTCAGGTCACGCACGACCTTGTAAGAATTTCTTCTAATTGATATCCTTCCTGAGACCATGGAGGCAACTGGCTTTGAAGGGTGAGCTGCACTCATTCCTATGTACTGCTGTGCCACGTGATAAAGAGCAGCTTTGCTGCCCACACCGTTCCTTTTTTGTTGCTAATTAGGACATAGTATCTAGGCCCATCAGTTTCTCTTTCACTAAATTCACACTGGGGGGAGGTTATTCCTCCATTCTGCAGAGCTGCCTCCAGGGAGAGCAGCATAGCGGGAGGAAGAGACATGCCTCTGAGACAAAGTAAATGCATCAGCCTGTTTGTCCCGCCGTGTCCATCCTCAAGCTTCCCACAGTATTTGGAAATGCGGAATTAAAGGAAGCCTGAAGGCATGCTTCCATGGTGGAGTTAACCTGGGCTCTTATTCGGGACATATTCTAACCTACTTCCCTTTTACTCAGTCTCCAGTTGTGTTTAGTGACGTTTTGAAAGCAACCTAGTTGCTCCAGCCCAGAATTGGAGACCAAAGCTCAAGCACTTGTCATCTCTTGGGCTGGTATCTTGCTTGGTCACCCGTGAAGAAGACAGACACGTTCTCCTAGAATTCAACAGAAAACAACCCAAGCATTTTGGCAGCTCAGAGACGAGGGATGTCACACCAGACAGGGTGATTAAGCCTTGCAGTCTTGACCTATGGACAGGCTTGTTCCAGGCAGGTCCTTGTGGCAGAACTCACTCACTTGGGATTCCTAACGCCTCTAGCAGAAGTCTGTCATGTATGTTCATGCAGCTATTTTCCCATTCTAAACAATGAGTCCTCACTTTTTTAAACTATATTAATTCAGCTGAAAAATTCTCCAATTGTGGCAGCAGATGTAGAGGAAAATGCAACTTGTGAACGCCTTCTTTACTTGGTCCTCCTTCAGCAGGGACTGAGAGTGATGGAGCTGTTTGTGCTCAAGACAGAGTTTCCATTGACTTGCACACCTTTTGGTTTGACGTTAATGTCACTTCAGTGTCAGGGGTTATAGAGCGGAAGCCAACAGGAAGGACTGATAAAGCGGAAACTC